CAAGTTCAGTCAGCAAATTGCGCATCCAGACAATCTCCCGGCCCGCATCGACAGCAGCAATGAATTCCGCCTCTGTGGTCGACTGTGCAACGAGTCCCTGGAGCTTGGAGCTCCAGCTGATCGCTCCAGAGCCAATGCGCAACACATATCCACTCGTGGACCGTCCGTTGTCTGGGTTGCCTGCATGATCAGCATCACAGAACGAGGTAAAGAGCTCCTTGGAGTCGGTGGGACCATAGACAAGTCGATAATCCAGGGTGCCTCTCAGATAGCGAAACAGATGCTTCACAGCCTTCCAGTGCGCAATTCCAGGATTCGAGTTGAAACGGCATAGGACAGAGACCGTGTGGGCGATGTCAGGACGAGTGGCGAGTGCAAGGAACAGCAGGGAACCGACAGCAGAGATGTAGGGAACCTTTTTCATATACTCCTTGTCCTCAGTCGATACAGGAGCCATGGAGACAGAGAGATTGGTGCCAGGGACCATGGGAGTCTTCACAGGGGTCGAGTCGGCCTGTCCATAACGCTCCAGCATGTCTAGGATGTACTGGCGCTGGGAGAGCATCAGGCGACGATTAGGGCGATCCCTCGCAATCTCTATCCCAAGAAGAGCGGTGGTGGGCCCCAAATCGCGAAGCTTGAACGACCTAGAGAGCTCAACAACAAGATCATCGAGCAGGGACAAGGAATTCGACGCAAAAGTGCAGTCATCCACAAAGACAGGCAGAATGACCTTGACCTGATCCTTGGTGTAGACATAGATGCTGTTGTCAGAGTAGATCGCCTTGAATCCCATGCGCTCCAATACCGCCTTGAGCTTCTTGTACCACAGCCGACTCGCCTGCTTCAACCCATACAAGCCCTTCATCAAGCGGCACACCATCTCAGGTCCTCCCTGCTCAAATCCTTCAGGCTGCTCCATGTAGACCACAGTGTCCAGATCGCCATTGATGAACGCATGGGAGATGTCGACAGAGCGCAGGTGAAAGTCCTCGAGGGCAGAGAGAGCAAGGATGGCGCGAATGGCTGCAAACTTGGCTGTGGGGGCGAATGTCTCGAAGTAATCAAATCCAGGGCGCTGACTGAAGCCCTTGGCGACGAGACGAGCCTTGTAGCGCTCGACAGAGCCATCCGTGTTGTGCTTCACCTTAAAAACCCAATGAGAGCCAATTGCCTTGCAGCCCTCAGGGAGTGAAACAATGTCCCAGGTGCGATTCCGAGCATGAGCCTCCATCTCTTCCTCTGCCGCCTTCTGCCACTCATCTGCATCAGGGCGCTTCATTGCCTGACGATACGTCGAGGGCTCAGCCTTTTCAGCACCAGAGGTGAATAGGGCACGCTCGACTTCAGCCAGAAATGCGTCCTCAACAATGGGTTCCATCTCTGCCTCTCCAGAAGCATCAGGGGCGTCCTCAGCAGTGTCCGAATGAGCATCATTGTCTGCAGACAGTGTCCTAACCTTCCACCATTCCCCAGGAGCACGACGAGTACGAGTGGAGCGTCGAGTAACAGATGGGCCTGGTTCAGGGGTAGCAGAGCGATTCCTGGAGCGCGTTCTAAGAGCAGGAGGTGGCGCTGGAATGACAGGAGGGGGAGCATCAGGAGGGACAATGACAGGAGCAAGAGGTGGAGGAGGTGCTGGGTCTGCCACAGGATGATCCTGATCGATGGGAGCATCTTCGAGATGACCAGCAGGAGGAGGAGCATCTGCTTCCCCCCCCAGAACCGGCACCGGATCCACATCTGCATCCCAAAGACTGAACAGAGATGAAGGAGGAGGGGTGGCAGACTGGGTGTTAGCATCAAAGTTGCGAGTGCCAGGAAAGAATCGCTCATCAAAGTCTGCCCTTTCCGAAATGATGACCTTCCGAGTCGCAGGATTGTAGAACTTCCACGCCTTGTAGCCCTCAGGGTACCCAATAAACATGCACTTCTCCATATGCGATCCAAATCCATCCCTTTTGTCTCTCTGCACATGCACATAAGCCAGGCAGCCCCAGACCCGCAAGTGCGAAACGTCCGGCTTCTTCCCATGGACCATCTCAAATGGTGTCTTGCCCTTCAGTGTAGATGTCCAGAGTCGATTCCAGACGTGCACATAAGCGGCCAGAGCCTCGCCCCAGAAGACAAGCGGCAAATGCGATTCAGAGAGCATGGCAGTGAGGGCCTCCATGATAGTGCGATTGGCACGCTCTGCCACGCCGTTCTGCTGTGGCCGATTGCGCGCCGTGTGCCTCCTAGCGATCCCATGCTCCAAACAAAACGATTCCCAGGCATTGGACATGTACTCTCCTCCCTTGTCATCCTGCAAAGCCAAAATGCGCTGTCCAGTCAGGTTCTCCACGTATGCCTTGTAGCGCTTGAAAGCCTCAAACGCGTCGCTCTTCAAGCGCAGGACATAGACCACCTTGAGCTTGGTGAACTCATCAATGAAGGTGATCCAGTAGCGCATTCCAGAGTGAGTGGCAACAGGGAGAGGACCGTGGAGATCAGAGTGGACGAGTTCAAGCGGTTTGGAGGTCACAGAGCCAGTGGAGGGGAAGGGGTGAGCGTGCATCTTGCCAGAGAGACAGGGTTCGCACACAGGGTCAGGATGCACATCCGAATCGAGCTGTAGACCAGTAACGAGTTGTTCCTTCACCATCTTCTGCACTCCAGCATGGTGGTGGTGGCAGAGACGACGATGCCACAGGGACAAGTCAAGAGGGAGAGTGGAAGCGGCACCAGCAGACTGCAAAACAACGGTGGATGTGGTCCCTTGAAGATATGCGTTGTTGGAACCATCAGGAACAATCGCCATGAACCACACTGCACCATCCCGGGAGAAATGCATCGAAGATCCTTCTATTAGCACAGAGAAGTGCTTGTGCTGAGTCAAATACAGCACAGACAGGAGATTACAACCGAGATCAGGGACATGCAGGACGTTTGAGAACTCCACAGACTGCGCCCTCTTGCCTCCAACGACCGGATTGAACACCACAGTCCCAACACCAGCAGAGTAGATGACAGACGAGTCTGCAAGACGAATGGGGACGACGAAGGGACGATAGTTGCGAAGCCAGTGGCGATGGGGCGTCATATGAGAGGTCGCACCTGTGTCCGCATTCCAATCGAGGTCAGTGACGAGTGAGGGGGCTGTGGATGAAGGGGATGGAGCAGGGGAACGAAAACTTGCATTGCCTGCAAACTGCATGGGACCAGAGGCTTCAGGGGCCTGAACCAAGTGGGCCTGCTGTGGCTTGGACTTTTTCAGCTCCTCATTGATCCTCTTGAAGCACCTGTCATCAGTATGGCCAGTGGCACCACAGAAGTCGCACTTGTACTGCTTCCTGGGTGGCCTAGAACGTCTGTAGGAGGTGGAGGAAGAGGTGGAGGACGAAGGAAAGGATGCCACAAGGGCCTGTGCAGAGTCTGTGGGATCAGAACGACGCGCACGATTCAAATCCTCGCGCCTGAACGCGTCCTCGAGCTTGGAGCGAGACAAGACGTCCATAAGACTGAGGGAGGAGCGGAAGGTGTCAAACTCAGAGGGGAGAGACCACAAGAGGGCCATGCAAGTGAGCTCCTCGTCCTGCTTCTTGAGATCGAAGCCAGAGTCGCGGAGGTTCTTCAAGACGCGCATAGACTCGTCGACACGATGAATGAGGGACTGGAGGGACTCATCGTTGCGCTTCTTGATCGAAAAGAGGTCCTCCATCGCGTTGAAACGCGATCCAGCAGACTTCTTGTTGAACTGCTCCTCCAGTTTGGTCCAAATAGCGATGGGGTCGTCCTCAATGCCATCCAAGACGCCTCTGAACTGCTCCTCAACTGAAAGTAAGAGCGCACCAGCAGCCTTCTGAGCATTCCTCTTCCACTCTGCCACCTCCCTTGGGTCAGCAGGCTTCTCCTTCGTGCCAACAGGGGCTGTCTCATCACCAGAGACTAGAAGCCACAGGCCTTTGAGACGAAGCCAGGCCTTGATCTCCTTGGACCAGGAAGGATAGTTGCGATTATTGAGAGGGGAGACAGAAGGGAGAGCGAATGAGGGGTCAGACATAGTGTGGGACGAGTGGCACAAGGAGGGAAACGTGTTGGAAGCGATGTGTGAAGATGGGAAAGGCAGGGAAAGCAATGGGGAAGATGTGGCAGCAATGGGGTGTGGCCAGAAAGGAGTGGCACAGCAGATGGGAGACCAGAAAGTGTGGATAAAACGATGTAGAGCAAAGTCGCTAGAGCGCAGGGCCCATAACCTGTTGAGCGCAGTGACAAAGAAGCGACTGGCACAGAGAGAGTGCCAAAAAGAAGCTCTATAACGACAGGACTGTGGTCCAGAGGGTAAGAGTCTATGTAGATACAAAGAACAGAGGGGAGCGCACCTGTGGTCCAGAGGGTAAGAGTCTGAGGAAAGAATCGCCCTCGGACCACGGGTATTTAAGCTACACAGAACAATAAGAAACGAAATAGGAAGGTATGACATCAACGGGTCATTACATGTGAAACATCTTACAAAGCGGTCAAAAGCTCCACCTGGAGCTCGGTCCGGAGTGTCAATGACATCACACCGGACCGCCTCATCCGGCTAACCCGGTGAAACAACTGAAACAAGGTGAGACCAAGTGAAAACAAAGTGAGAGAGTCCAAATGGAGAAAGAAAGCAATATACCCGCTCTGGGAACGGCTGTAGGGCCGCTCCCGGCTGTAGAGGCGAGTAATCAATGAGTCCCAAAGGGGGCACCCATGTGGCATCCATGCCACATCAACCAGAACGGCCAAAAACAACAATAGGAGACGGGGGTGATTGTTCTAAGAGTGCAAGGTCGAGGATAGGGGAAATCGGTGGGAGTAACGATCGGTTCGGCGACGAAGGTGGGGTTAAGAAGAAAGTGGAGTCGGGTGGTGGTGAGAGCGATGGCGAGGATTCGAGATCAAGGTAGTGATGGTGGGATAAGTGTTCTGGGACTATATCGGCGTCTCCGAACAAACTTCGGTCGGCAGATGTTTCCTGAGTATTGAAGCTATCGATAACTGTTTGTCGTTCTTCGCGCTCCGCTGTTGGTCGGGACGAGCGACGTAGATTCCTTGAGGTAATTTTGAATACTAACCCCTCGCGGTGGGCTCCAAAATGTTACGCTAGAGGTGGCTCTAAGTGCCGAGCACAACACTAAAACAACCTCTAAGGCAGGGGTGCTGGAGCTAGTATCTGATACACAAGGAATTGTAAGTGATGACTTTAGAAATTGAAGGCGTACTGAGAAGCAATCGGGGAGTGTGAGATTATAGCGCCCGAACGGTTTCGGGACTGCGCCGAACACCGACCGAACGTTCGGTCGGTCGTGTCGGCGATGCGGTCGGTAATGAGAAGGTAGTGTCGCGACCGACAACTACGTGCTTCAAGAGCCACACGGGACTCTGACAATATACGAGGGAGGACGGGGGGGTACGAGCGAAGAGACGAGTACGAACGCGAATGAGGCCGAACGACGAGGATGACAAGTTTTTCGGAAGTCGACGAAGACGATTTCGATGGTTGAGACGAGTGCGAATGAGCTCTGAACTGTGGGGTGCGAAAGCTGGTTTATTCCAGAGTTGTATGTAGGTTTTTATAGTAAACAGAGCCCCTAAGTAAAATATTAAACAAGAAATGAGAGTAGATGTCGAATGGGCGCCAAGCCCCAGCGATCAGAGAAGATAAGAAGGTAGGTGAGATGTCCATATGGGTTCCGAAGGTGATAAGGTAAAAGGTAATCAGTGATGTCGAAATCCCGAACGTTCGGGATCCGTCGCCCGAGCGTAGGTAGCAGGAACAGGCGTTGGAGAGCCAATGAAAAATAAAGAAGAGGTATCGTACGACCAGGGTGGCCAAGCAATGGTGCAAGATCGCGTTTGACCGACCATGCGGAAGTCGGGAAGATAAACGATAAGGACCGACCGACTCACGGAGGACATCGGCCGATACGGAATACTGGCTCCGATCTCGTAAACACTTATCGTAACACTCCTATGCGGTCATGGTAAGTACGTGAAGTGTGGGCGAACTGACCCAAGTGCTGCCGAACGTCCTTCGGTGGCTTGTCGTCGGTCGGGTAGGGACCGACCGTGTTCGGTAATAGTCGGCGTCTTCGGTACTTGTCTAGCGCTGTTCGGTATCTCCCCAAAGCTTCACGAATACCTCCCTCGGACCCTAGCGCGGGTGCATGCTCATCACCGGGTTGGGTTGGGTAGGAAGGGGATGCTGTTTCGAGGGGATATGAGAGAGGGGAGTGGCGGAGCTGGGCAGGAAGTTGTCAAAGCGCTTGGGAAACCGTATTCCACGTCCAGATCGTGCAGAGCGCGTGATAGGAGGCTCAGGCGAGGGTGGGAGTTCCGAAGATGAAGATTCTGGGATGGGGACCGAGTCCAAAATGTTGTGCTGATATGCAAAAAAACGTGAAGACTGTTCAGTATGTAGTGAGTGCGCACGAAGGTTGACGACACTCACCTCTGCTGTCAACTCTTTAGGTTCTACCAACACCTGAGCTCTCTTCCTTGACAGTGTCTCCGCCTCCTCCACTGTCTCCTCCTTTCGAGCGCGCTTTTGCTGAAAGGTAACATCTTGAATCTCTTGATAGCCTTTGCAGTTCCATTGATGCGTCTTGAGAGCGCGCCGGTCGTGGAAATTTCGGGGACACGCGAGGCATTGGAAAGCCATTAAAAGGAGGAAAACAAGAATGATATTAGGGTTTTCATGCTCGTCGAGGGTGCGTGAGCCTCATTGAGCTGTGAAAATGACAAGACGAGTCCGACTCTGCAAAAAGTCTGCTGACGCAATCATGTGACTGCTCAACGCTGGATCGAGCAGATGGAAGGGGTGAGTTGCTCGGGGTCAATGGGACCTTTTCTCACAAAGCGCCACGCCTCGATCAGGGTCCCTCGCTAGCGCTAGCGTTGTCCGCCACCTTGCCTTGTCCGCCGCCTGTGTTCGCTTTATCCTCTCTCAATATATATACCTCGCGAGCGCGAAGGCAGTTCCTCATTCTGAACTCACTGCCACGCACTCGCAGCACGCGCTACGTACATCTAGTTTTTCGCCAGGCATTGCATGCCCCCGCGCCGAGACGCTAACGGACGATTCCTGCCACGTAACCGCCCCGCTTCCCCACCTCTCGACATGTCCACCTCAACCAACCCAAACCCCGAGACTCCAGTGTCCGACACCGTCACCCAAGCTCAATTCCATGGTCTCGCAACCGAGGTCTCGAGCCTGACAACAGGGATGGCCAACCTGCAGCTCCTGCTACAAACAGCCCTCCAGGCGGCCGCCAACCTTCCCCCCGAAGCGGCAGCTGCCCCGGCTCCGGCACCGGCACCATCCGCCGTGGCGCCCACAGCTGCCGACGTGCTTTCATCGCACGTCCCCAGCTTCGTGCCACCCGCATCCACCAATCCTGCCGCTGGTGCGTCCCCTTCCCTCCTCTCCCAATTCCCCTTGGTCGAGGCGGCAGTCATCACGGCCATTGTGACCCATGAATTTCGGTCCTCGGATCTCTACAAGCTGGACCCCCAGTACCGAGACAAGGCTGACCGGCGCATCCTAGCCCTCAACGGCGACACGCTGGAGCTCCAGACCGGTGACTCCTCCGCCAAGGAGTACCGGTCCCTAAACTCAGTTATCATCCCCCTTTCCACTTATTTTTCCATCCTCGGATCGGCAATTGCCCCCATGACCCCATCCATAGGATTGGTCATCTCGGGCTTCTGGGCTTACACAGCATCGCTGATGCAATTCGCCTCGGAATACAACTGGGCCGCGGTGCACGCCTACCACGCCGACTTCTTTACAGCTCGGCGACGAGAGATGCAGACGGGCGACTACAGCAAATGGGGCCGCATAGATCTGGACATCCAGACCCACCGCTTGTTCGGCCACAACAAAGCGGCGCGCCCCAATGCTCCCGCACCCAGTGGCACAAAGACGAGAAAGGCAGGCGGTACCGGCTATTGCATCAAGTACAATACCGGACACTGCACAACGAGCCCTTGCCCCTGGGGTCGCCCACACACATGCTCCACATGCGGCCAAGGGCACCCGGTAACCGAGCACAAGTAGGGACTCGGGCCGGCAGACGCTCATGCGCTCCGCCTAGGCCCTGCTCGTTTTCTCGCCCCCAAGTCCACCGGCCCCTCGCTCCTCAACTCGTTCCCTCCCACCCACATCCCCCCGCCTCGCCCCAACTCAGCTCCGCGCGCCAATCATCCCACCCTCCAACCCCCGCACCGTTCGCTCGTTGCCTCGCGCCTTCACGCCCCCGCTTGGGCCCAATTTCTTTCCGAGTACCCAGACCCCTTGTTCGTAGATACAGTCATGGATATTATTAAACACGGTGACAACGTAGGCTACCATCACGATCACGCGCGCGTGCAGTCCAGCGAAAACTTAAAATCCGCACTACTGCACCCCGATGCCATTACCGCCGACATCGCAGCCCAAGTTGCAAAAGGCTGTACGCGCGGCCCTTTCGACGCGCCACCCCTCGTACACTTTCGAAGCTCTCCGCTCGGAGCTGTCACGCGTAAACAGGCTACAAAAGTCCGCCGCATCCATCACCTCTCATGGCCTGATGGGACCTCGGTAAATGACGGCATCCCTGATGACGAAGCTGCCATCACATATGACACATTCCATCGAGCCGTTGAAGATCTGATCGCTTCCGGCGCCGGATCGCACATGATCAAACTCGATCTCGAACAAGCCTTCCGGCAAATCCCCGTCCGACCGGCAGATTGGCACCTGCTCGGTTTCACCTGGATGGATCAATTTTATTATGACATCGTCTTCGGATTCGGCCTGCGCTCCGCCCCATATATTTTTAACCTATTTGCCGAAGCACTTCACTGGATTATCTCGCGTCACATCCCCAGCCGACTTCGACACTATCTCGACGACTTCCTTGCAATCTTTTCCCCCAACATGGCGCCTCCAGACGTCCTTGCTGCGAAGGACTGGATTATGGAACTTGGCCATACCCTCGGTCTCCGCTTTCAGCCTGAAAAAACTCTAGGTCCAGTGACGTGCCTGGAGTACCTGGGTCTAGAACTTGACTCTGTCGCAATGGAAGCTAGGCTCCCTGCTCCGAAGCCTGACATCCTGCGCGACCTCCTCGCAGAATGGTCTGTGCGGTCCTCCTGTACACTCCTGCAACTACAGGAACTTGCAGGCTACCTACAATTTGTATCACAGGTAGTCCCCCTTTCATGGGCATTCTTACACCATGTTTTCCGATTCATGGCATCATTCCGCACCGATCGCTCGCATCGGCGCGTGCCTCGCGCACTCCGTCGTGATCTCGATTGGTGGCAGGATGTCGCTACCACATGGAACGGGATCCAGCTTCTGACGCCAAGCCGCGCCGAGGTCCACATCTACACAGATGCCAGCGGTGCAAAAGGAATTGGCGGAACCACAGGCTCACAATGGTTCTCTTCTCGTCTTCCCCGCCGGCTCCGGGGCCGGGACATTCAGTACAAAGAACTATACGCTGTCCTTCATGCCCTCCTTTGCTGGGGCCCAGACCTCACCGGCCGGCATGTCATCTTTCATGTTGACAACCAAGCTGTCGTCCAAGCGCTTCTCACGCTGTCAAATCGCTCCACTCCAGTTGCGGAGCTTCTGCGCCGCTTCCTTAATTTAACATGCCGCCTCGACCTAACCTTTTCCGCGGTTTGGCTCTCTTCCAATCAGAACGCGCTCGCTGACGCTGCTTCTCGTTTTAATTATACTCAACTATTTGATCTCGCCCCCAATCTCGATCGACAGCCCTCCTACCGGCGCCTCCGTTTTGGTAGTATCAACGCTTCCGACACGTCGCACCCCAAGTCGCTTTTTACCTATGGCACGGGATCGCGTCTAGCACGCGCGCCACTTACAGCGTCGGCCAGAAATCCTTCATCAATTTCGCCACTATTAGCGGGCACTTCAACCCAGATGGAGCCCTCCTCCCGGCCAATCAAAATGCTGTCATGGCATGGGTGGCCTGGCTCGGCGGCCGAGTCCAGCCCAAAACCATCAAAGCTTACCTCACGCATCTCCGATCCCTCCATGTCGACACGGACCTTCCTTTCTCGGCAATCAAAGCGCCGGTCGTCCAACGCCTTATTCGGGGCATCAAGAGATACCACGGTGAGGCCGGCCGCAAACCCAAGCAACCAATCACCCTCCCCATCCTTCGCGACATCCTCAACCACATGCCAGATTCCCCTCAGCAACTCCACCTCCGCGCCGCCTGCTGCCTCGCCTACTCCGCCCTGCTCCGTTGCGGAGAATTCACGACACGCGAAGGTACCCGCCGGGGCTTCGGCACCGAAACCGGCCTCACAGTCGGTTCCATCAGATTACTCCCCGATGCCACTAACCCGACTCACGCAACAATCTTTCTCCCCGGCTCCAAAACCGACCCCTTCCGCAAAGGAACTACCATCACGGTCGCCGCCGCTCCTCCTGGCTCCGCAACCTGTCCGGTGGTCGCACTCAAAGCCCTCTTCGAAGCGGAACCCCGGCCGGAGACCGCCGCGTTGTTTGAAGAACGTCCCGGCATGCCGCTCTCTCGCGGCTTCTTCCTCAAATCGATCTGGGCCGCTCTTCTCCACGCGGGGTACAATCCCTCGGAATTTGCCGGCCACAGCTTCCGACGCGGCGCCGCCTCCTCCGCAGCAGTTGCCGGCTATTCGGACTACGAGATACAACTCTTGGGCCGGTGGCGCAGCGATGCCTTCAAGCTCTACCTAGAGGTAGACCAGGCTCGCCTGCTTCAACTGTCCAGAACTCTTCATTTGGCCCTCCCTCAGCCATCCGCTTTCGACCCTCCGGGTCTGCGCGGCCTTCCTGTCATGGCTTGAGGTCGGCCCCGGGACCTAGTCCCGAGGCTTGCCTTGAGTTCTCAGGGGCCACAAATGTCATACATTTGTCATGCCTGTCGAGCCCGGAGAATTTCGCTTCCCTTCTCAATTCAGTCGCTTCTTTCTCGATTTAGATAACGCTTCTTCCTTTGTCACTCAGTCACATTGAGTCGCGAATTGATTGTTTGGTCATCACTTTCGCTTTCACTCTCACTCTCACCATGCCTTATCGACCCCCTCCCTCCGACAATTCTGACTCAAACATGGAACATTCAAGGTATGTCTCAAACCCAGAGAGAGCGGTATCAAAACGTGCCACAGAAGACACACGCCGTGCACCGAAAAGCATGGCACAACACAAGGGCAAGAAGCCCAGGAAGGACACATCAAAGTAAGTTTATCTTCTTCAATTCTTGTCAACTAACTCCCTCTATTCTCGACAGGTGTGATGATCAAGACGTCTACAAGAGCACCGCATGCTAGATCCCATGTGGAATCGATCTCTATGAAGATCTCCATGACGTCTTTCGTGTCGGCATGTGCATACAATACGGGCGCCAGGCAAGATTGGACAAGGAATCGGGCAGCAATGATAATTCCGGATGCTTTACTGATGATCTTTATCTGTGAGTACGTTGTTAACAATTTCACTGACCATCTCTCACTTATAAGATAGGCAAAAGGATCAAAAGAAGACATACCTCAAGATTTTCAAACAGGTTCTCAACCTTGTCCCCGGCTTACATGCTAAGGCCAAGTCCAAAGGTAATAAAGACTCGTTTCAGCTCTTACTTAACATAGTAAGTGCATATATGCGCATATACACATACTACTCACCTCTCGTTAGATGATCAAAAGCAGCGCAAACGCTTGCGCTGTCAATACGATGCACATGAAAAGATTTGTCGCCAAGTATGCGCCGCTCGACCCAGTCGTGCAACTGATCAAACTGGCACTGATGCAGAGCAACAAGTGCGACCGCGGGTTTTCACACCAGATGCTTGCGCGTCTGTTGTGCCCTAACAAGTACCTTGCGCTCTTCGACAAGGATCCCATCCAGTACCTTTTTTCTCAGCTTATATGATGGTCACTGATTTTATTTGGCTCTCTTTTTCCGTAGCACCTGGAACAAGCTCAAGAATAACGAGATCAAGGTGCTCACCAGGCATTGGCCCACCTTTCTATATGAAGACTACCAATACGACCCCAGCAACTGCGAGAAAGGCTTATTTCGCGGCCGCCTTATTCTCTGCGTAAGTTTTTAACCATGCCATCATTGAAGTGCTGACACATTCTCTCATTGCACAGACATGGAAGGCTATATACATAGGGCCCTCAGCTGCAAAATTAGCACCGGGTGTCACGACAATTTGCACCAAGAGCAGGAACGCAAAACTGCATGGCATCAACGTCGTGACGCCTCAAACAATTGCGTATGCCACTTGCCAGGTAAGTTGTCAATCAATATGTTCATGTGCGGGCTCACTTCGAGTTTCCAGGCATGCTTCGCCATCAGCTCCATTGACATGTGGAGCCCAGACAATGGAACCTTCAACTATCCAACATTCTACAGCAGGATTGTTGATCTATTTGAGATGTATCAGGCTGACAAGTGGACAAAGGACACCCTTGCATGGTGGAACAAGTACTAACCATCTTGCTCTTCGGCTCTGCTGCGCGCTCTCGTTTCGGCTTTTTGTGGTTTATCTTCCGCATTACCAACTCATGTATATTTCTTCTTGCCGCTAAATATATTCTTATCATTTGATTGCCGTGTATACTTACTCTTGCTGCTCAATATATACCGGCCATTAAACTAACATGTTTTTATTGTCTGACCAGTGAATATAAGCTCAATATTAGATTGTGGATCATGCAATGCCTTGCAAGCATTGCCTGGCAATATATTCTCGCCAATCCTCACTGAGTAATATATACTTGTCTCAAGGCTTGGCAAAAACCCCAAGAAATATGAAGATTGCATTTTTGCTCGTGCCTCATATGCTAATGCAATACCCCCCCTCCCAATTGGAGGTCTTGGTGGGTTTCCGGGGTATATAAAGGTATACATAGCTATCTATCATTTGTGCACTTTTGCTGATGAACTTATAGTGAAGGCACCTCGGCCGGGTGCCACACTATGCCACAGCGTTTGTTTCAGGCTGATGCGCTGGTGCCGAACAACGCTCAACGGCGCTTCGGAGAATCAAAATAGATCGAAATATCTGAACATCCATCATTACTGGATGCCTTTCCACAGAATTTAGAGCAATCCTAAATCAATAAATCGGAGTCGAACTCTGATTTAGATTTAAAACTAGGAATCTTCCAGAACCACGGGACCATCTATAAATCGGTGTATGCGTGCATTTGATTCGAGCGGAGCTCTAACGACCCACCTGTCCGCGCAAAGAAGTCAACAAGGTTTAGTCGGAGCTTAAAAAAAGCGTTTAACAATGATGAATCTGAACTGGAAAGGGGAAGTGGACCCCTTCCAGTTCAAAAATCTAGAAGAGGGGTCTCAAGCTCTGACAGAATGGATTCGCCCGTGCCGACGAAGCAACCAAGCCATTGGAAGAATCTGGATTTTAGAACTCGCTCTAAAGGCCTGTGGAAAGTCATCCAGTCATCCACTGGCAACTTCGGCTAACGTTGTGTCGTTCACTAAACTGTTCTTAATTTCTCTGGAGTACTTGGAGACACATGGTAGAGCGTCTTTACATAACTACAGAGCAATTTGCCGATTGGTACTTCGAAGCAACCTTCACTTGTTCAGACATTCCATATAGGCCTCAAGAGACTTCTCCGGATCATCCCAGTGCATCTAAAGGAGTGAAATGTTAATTTTCCATGAAAAGATAAAGAATTCGAGGAGAAAATATATACGAAGTGATTAGCACTGTGAATGAGCTTGAAGTCGATCAAGCTAGATCCGAGTTCTGCATCGTCGTCTTGTACGGACCACATTGAAATCAATGCCCATGACACTGAAAATTCACCGGCGAGATAAGATATCTTTAGATGAGGGAAGAGTATGCTCGTCGTGTGGTCAAATAGTGCCTTGCGGTAATTCGCCTTCAACTGGGGCGCAAAATTGAACAAGACTCCCATTTCTTCCGCGACGATGTCACCGTACACGATATCATTGAATTGGGCTTTAGACATGTTGAAGATCGTAGGCACACGGACTGTAGATGGAACGATATAGGAAAGGAGGTCAATATTGCGCTTTGAGAGGTCTCCGTGTTCGAAATATGAGGTCATCCACTGTCTCCATAAGGGATAACGATCCTCGACAGGGATATTGTTATCTGCCATAGGTGTCCAGTCCCTCGCAGGCATGGGGAATCCGAATGCCAGAGGGACTGGTTCTGTTGACAATAAGTTTAAGATAATTATAGACTAAATTTGAAGGACGAACCCTGTAGGATGAGCGCCCGGATGTAGCGTCCGAGACGTTGGCGTATATCAACAGGAAGTGTGTCGGCATTGGACAAGGCAGTGGTGCATACGTAGGAGCCGAGTGACCAACCGAGGATAACAACGCCGCCTGAATTGCCGTCATCGGAGATGGCAGGCAGGTTGTGATTCTCAATGAAAGCGTTGATGAAGGTGGCAGTCTCATGGCCGCGAGCCTCCATCCACGCGCTCTTTTGCTCGTTGCTGCCGTTCAGTATAACATCAAGCTCATCGGCCGTAAAAGGTGTGGATCCAGGGTAGGAGCGACGACTGATAGCCACAAAGCGGATGCCTTTATCAACAGCAATGGATAACACTTTCTGAAATATCGCTATAGTGATATAGTTCCACGTTTATTCATGGTCAAAATCACTAGATCGGTAGCATACCGTGTGTATAGCCCAAGCCATGAAAAGCGAAGATAGTGGTGTAGGGTGATTGCATTGAAGGTGCACCACTATCTATATAAGATAGCTTGGCGTCGGATTGATTGACCACAAGAGAATCGAAAGGCATTATGCAGAGTGAATCTGGAAGTGTTCGGGGGAGAATTCAAAAGCAAGGAGCGGGTGAAACAACGCACGTACTAACGTTTATAAATGACAGTGACCCCAACATGCTCACCGCCCATCTGTCAATGTCCAACTACATGATGGCTGCATCCACCAATCGAGTTACCATACTCTATGTGCTTCCATCCTCAGCTGAGGTGCGGAGCTTGCCAAATCCATGAGCACCAGATTTTACTCACAGGATGTTTGTCAACGCCCTTTTGCTCTGTCTAAGCGCTGTCCTACGCTCATTCTGCTGGTACGACCACCACGCTTTGTTGGACAGCATAGCTATTCGGGTTTGCGCGTTGAGAAACGAGCGTTTCGCACATAGAGGATGGTTTTGAAGCAGAAGCTGGAGCGCTCCTCGAGTCCTGCCGTAGCGCCAACACCGTATTTAAGGTTAGGGTTAATTCTCTTGAGTATTTGCTTTGACGTAGAATAAGATGATCGTTCATCATGCCCACTCAATACCTATTTGTTTTCGCCCAGGCGCACGACGAATTTCGTGTGCCAGAGCTGCTCTCTATTTCTGAGCTCTATGGTTACAAAATGACGATCCCACACGACTTCGATATGACTCGGCCTTTTGCCGTCTTGGAACTTGAAGACGAGGAACAAGCAAGATTGCTTGCGCGGAGGTGTATACTGATCAAGTAAGTCACAGTTTGACGTGGCCAGCGATAATGAGACGATGAACTTCCTGGATACCGATAGATCGGTGTACGAGTTCTGCGCAAGAGGGCGAACATATGCAAAACTTCACGAACAAAACCGCGCGGCCCGTGCAAAGTGGGAGCGATTCATTCCTGAGACATCTTTCAAGTTTTGTGTGCTGGGGTACAATCAGTCGATACCTCAGCGCAGACAACGAGAAGTGATCGAAAGCTTCTCGTATATGGACTTCAGGGGTAAAATAGACATGAAGAACCCGGAGATTATAATGGGGTGCTTTGAAGAGTGTGAGCTCTCTTTTATGGTTGAGTACTAAGCTGTATTTCAACGGTGGATAGACTCCGATACTCACGGGACAACACGGCATAAACATGAAGGAGACGGGAAATTTCGAGAGGTGTTTTTTGGCAGGTTGGTACGTTCATGCTATACATAAAATCGGCTCCTACTGTGATGGCGACTGAGCGGCTCATACCTTTGCTCTCGCATTAATTTTTTATTCAGATAGAAGAGGGTTCTGCCCGTGCCCTTGTCAAAAAATTTGATGTGAAAAAAAGAGTCTACTTTGGAAATACAAGCATGGAGGCTGAAATCTCTCTGCTCATGGCTAACCAAACGTTGGTAAGGTTTAACGACCGTAGTCATAGAAAATTTGATTTCAATCATATTCAAGGCGGCACCCGGAAAGCTGATCTACGACCCATTCGTGGGTACGGGGAGCATGGCATATGTACGCCTAATCCCTTCAAATCCCAGGCTGATCTAATTCCCGTTGAAGACAACAGCACATTTTGGTGCCCTCTTCTTCGGTTCAGATATTGATGGCAGGCAGATGCGGGGCAAAGGTCAGCGCTTCACAGTGAAATTTGTTTCGCATGTGACAAACATTGGATACCGTCATAGAAAAGCAGCCGGGCATCATACGTGCCTCTGGTCAGTATGGTGTAGACAAACGAATTATTGATCTATGCACATTCGACGTGACTCGGAATCCATGGCGATGTGGCGGCTTCTTCGATGCAATCATCACCGATCCACCTTGTAAGTGTGACAACGATGTTCTTCGACATGCTCATCTGGTGATGGCCAATTTCTACAGATGGTGTCCGAGCGGGAGCCAAACGACTTGGACGCAAGAAGGAGCGGACTGCGTCCACAAAACCTCAGGGGCTGATAGCCCCTCTCCCGTAAATCTGCTCATATCACCTCCTTATCACTCATCTCACCTGGATTGGTGCAGAGGTGACCAGCCTTATGTTCCGCCTACAAAACCTTACGAGCTCTCTGCACTCGCAACAGATCTTGTTCTGCTCGCTCGATACCTCCTCAAGCCGCAAGGCCGTCTCGTATTCTTTCTACCCACAGTAACAGACGAGTATCAGGCGATAGACGTCCAGAGCATGTTATGCGAAGGCATGGAAGTGATTGCAAATTCTTTACAAGACTTTGGAGCTTGGGGACGGCGTGTGCGTCTATATTCATTATCCTACGACGCACTTCGAGATAGCTAAAAGGGCAATGTCAGCTCGTCACAATACGAAAAACTACCACACATATCTACCCCCCTCCCCGATTTGATTCTAGACCTGAAGAACTAGACCAACCGGCCGAAAACTTGCACATTCCTGCACACAAAGATTTTCGCGAGAAATACTTCCAAGGCTTCAAAAAAGATACGGACTCCGATGGGACGAAGGATGGCGAGGACCGGGGATAAGCATGCTGTCAAGTTTGTCCAGACTGTCGCCGTTGAGCAGATTTTCAGACTTGCCGCTTATCAACAGCACAGGTCATCACCGGTGAAATTCTTGATGGATGCTCTATAAAATACCTTTGTCCAACCGTCGAGCGCCGAACACGATAATACCAGCCGTGATACTTGTATGATAGATTGCCATCAAAAAAGCCCTCACGCATGAACATTATTACTAGCTGACCTACACTTAAGACGCATGCACCCACGCTAGCCGTAAAAGGCTCAAAGCAGTAAAATACAACTATTGGAACTCCGGCGAAGCTACAACGCGACAACAATGTCAAGAACCATCACAGTAGAGTAAGTACTATGAAAACATACAACAAGCAAGGATTACAATAGCGAGAATGTCTAAACATTGTTACGTCTCGCCAGCCTCACCAACTTCACCCCTAACCACCATCTCGTCCCGCTCCCTTCGAGCCTGTCGACCTTCGAGTCCAAAGACAAGCAACACGGCGAAGGTAGTAAATACAGCATTGAATATGATTGCGCGGTGCATATTGAGCGGTGGGGATCCAGTAGATGGCGCACGGAGGGCGCTTTGGGCTAAACACCACAGGTAAGTGTCAGCTGTGTTGTATATTTGGAGACGCAGGTGAAAGACAGAGCAAGACGCACATGTTAGGAATATTATGCTGAAGAGGTTGCCGCTGAAGCCAGCAAAGGGGGTTAGCTTATTGGTGACGCTGGCATAATGCGATCAGTATCAACGCACAAAAACCAGAGTACGGCGGAGCTCCCGTCTGCGTTTCTAGTAAGCTCGCATGCGAGCTCAAGCGCCACAGGTAACAACGCTATCGACGCGGCACCGATGATGGCCATGATTACGAACAGGCCTGCCGTGTCCTTCGGTTTAGCTGCATTACGGGCCATAAAATCATCAGATGACTCTTCGAACGCCAATGGACTGTGGAGATAGACTTGGCGGAAACGTACCGGCCCAGATAAGCGCGAACCACCCCGCACCGATGATAGGGCATAGCAGGCGTATCGTGATACCCAGATGACGAGTAAGAATGCGGTCGAAGACCGGTGCGCTCGCGAGAGCCGCCACTATACCTACGAGGAGGAGCGTTGCGCCCATGAGGCCCGTGGTATCATCAGAATAGCCGTAAGGTGCCTGTCAGAATCAAGCGAGGGCCGATAGAAGAGGGGTGAATAGGTATACACCATAAACGATTAGGAAAGCGGGTGCTTGCCATCCATTGAGAACTCATGACTGAAAATGTGTTGATCCTGAGCATATACCAACATAGTCACTCCGCGGTGTCTCGCGTCGAAGTTGTAAATGGACTTACGCAGAGAGCAACACTGCAAACACGAAGACGAGAATTCCAAAATCTGCACGCTCACGCGGCGTCATGTACGCCTCGCGAGGAACTGGCCGACCAACCGCAGCATTAATGAGCAAGAAGATGGAAGGGGACTTTTGGGACCCGGCGTACGCTGCCGACGCGGAGATGAGACGAGCGAAATGAATGACCTGAGTCGTGCAGAGGGTATGGCGAATGAGCGGCTTACTCGGGGGAATTGGTGGCTTCTCGAAGACGAGGAAGACGGCAGGCGTGACAACCGTGGAGACGATTCCTAAGACTAGAATCTATGCGAGTGCCATACCTAGTCTCAACGACCCAGAAGCCTAACAGAACCAATTTCGTGTCAACCTACAGACTGTCGAACATCGCCCACGATGGGGGAGATGAGTTGGCCAATTGCACCTCCAATGGGATTGGCTAATCATTCAAGCAGAAGACTGTCCAGGGTGTTCTAATTTTCGAAGAGTTCACGGAGCTTACAGATGGCGAGGATCATGGTTGCCGTCGTGCGTCCCTTGAGATCAAACCAGACCTCGGAGTACTTCGGGCCCAGAATTTGGAAGACAGGCTGTGCGATAGCAGAAAATAACTGCAAGTATTTGGAACAATCGTCAGTTAAATATTTCTTCTCGGCTCTGGGAGCGAAGGTGGTTTGGTATCACCTGGCCAAAAATTATGAGGGCGTATGCGCTGTGCTTGGATAGAGAGCGCACGGTGCCTGCATAGCGAACCCACGCCGAGATGAGAAGTGCCACGGTGCCAATCTGACACTGCAGATAAGTAGATAGGAAATCAACCACTGCCGCTTGCGGATAAAATGCTGCCGATAACACGTACGCATCGTCTGATCCCATAGCGTCGGGTGATGATGGGGACGAGAAAACTCGTTGGGAGATAAATGCAGGCAATGATGTTCCCTAGCCAACTGACCTCGTCGAGTGTGAACCCAAACTGATCGACGACTGGAACAGTTTTCAGCAATGGCGCGTGGTGTCTCAAGCAAGATGATTACCGCTGTCAGATATCGGCCCAAACCATGGCCAACTCATGCTGGCGACCACTTCCAGAACAAACTGGACATTTGTTCATGGGGGCAAATCGCAATTGAAGGGTATAGAACGTACCAATGAAAAAACGCCTATCCATCGCCTCTTGTACAGTCTGAACGCCCCAGCTGCACCTGGAATCGCATTATCGACATTATCTGGATCTGATTGGAGCACGACGTCAGCATCCTGCTTCGGTGCCATCACAGGGGAATCCTCATTGTAACTATCCTTCGATGGAGGGGGGATGGGGTCAAGCTTCACATCGAGAGAATGCTGAATCATTGTGTGCCGACTGTAGCATAGACCTGCAGACAAGAAGAGACAAGAGGGAGGGACGCGAAGAACTCGCGGCCTTAAGGGGCTTGAGGCACAGATACAGGAAAGAAGAAATCAGATGACGTCCACGGGAAACGCGCGACGAACCGGATCAGTTCAGACTGTAGCCTCCATAAAGTATTAATGTAGCCTGGGTTCCATGTGCGCAATGCATTGAGATGAAATCTGTGTGAGCATGTATGACAGCCAGTCCCGCTGGAAGTCGTATACTAATAGTAGGAGCGACCGGCATGATTCGCTCGGCTACCAATTCTCTGAACGTGATCACTGACTGTCCGATGACACTCTCCGCTGCATGCACCATAGCACTCTCTTCATCCTAAGCCCAGTTCTTAACCCGCGTGGCCATGTGAAATCGACAGTCAGAATAGTGAGCTACTTCCCTCTTTCAGACTGATCGGTCATCTGACTGCAACGGAAGCCCACTGCATCATTCATGTCCTTCATGGGAGGAAGCTCACTGTTTTTCACGGCAGCTCAGCAGCAACTCTGATAGGCAACAGATCTAGCCATAGCACCCGACATAATTGCATTCATCTGCACCCATTCTACCCTCAACGTCCACGGACATGATAGAAGTATGAGCTCTTGCTGCATTATGGCAATCTCAGCCTCAAGTATAGATCACAGACAGCGTGAGACCATCCAGTCTGGATCCCCACTGAGGGGTTTGCGACTGAGCGCCGACATTAGCCACGACGACCCTCCCAGAATTGATACTACGAATCACCCGTGTTCTCGAACACTTACGCCCAGAACGTCTGCGCGTGGAGAGATCGGAGCGAGTTGTCCGTAAGGACGGATTCGAAGGTGAAGTAGAGGTGCTTGGGTGAAGTTCGCACAAGAAGAGCTCTGTGTGTCTGCTTCTGACCATGCTACACCGCTGTGGGTTTTCCGCCTTGAATTCAGACTGCTCCATTTTTGTCCGAGTGGCGTGGGAATGTATGTCGGTGCAGCAAGAAGATGAGGTTGGACCAACATCGGACAAAGACACAGAGGCACGGTTGGCCGAAGCGACGTTGGCGCTAGGTTGCCATATGTTGTGGGAGTCAGGTCCGCTGGTATGAAGGGTCAGCAAGGACCGCAAGGTTGCTGCACCCTTATACCTGTTATGTGGGCTCAGGATACTACCCTGTATTGCAGCGACCATCTGATCTAGTGTGCGAAAATCTCATTAAATGGGCATCAATTAGCACATTGTAGAGCAAAATATAAGAGATATGGTACAATAACAACATATCCAGAACCATTAGAAAAGATATATGAGACAGAATTAAAGCAATGAGCATGTGCGGAAGTACAAACAGGTGGAAGGAGGGCAGATATGGCAAAACAAGCACACAAAGGGCCACTATTCTTCATCTTCCTCATCGACATCATTGGGAATGTCATGAAGGTCGTACTCTTCCATTGCAGAGATCGAATGAGCTGCGTTGGTCTGCCAGAGAGTCTCACGCTGTGTTGAAGCTGTAAGCCTTTTGCTTGGAGGATAGGCATTCAAATGCTTGTCGAAAGCTTGCTTGAACATCCTTGAATATGTGTTAGTATCCGCTGCATGTTCTTGGGGAGAATGCAGACACACACCCTTTGAGAGCCTTTGAGCGAGCAGGTTCGGGCATATTCTTGACACTCTGTCGGCGCAGTGACAAGTCGTTGTCGACCCAATTCCAGAAGGTTTTTTGATGAAGATTTAGGTTCTCAAACCGGATGTATGCATTGTGCTACACCAACAATTAGTTAGCGGTGCCAATTCTGAAGGATGTATGCATTTACACACCACCCATGCCCATCGGTACCAATGATCCTCGGTCACGGTAACTTGTGACTTGAGATTCCCGACAAGCTTCTTAACAAGTGCATAGATGTTCGCCTTCTTGTGGAAAAGCTCCTTGAGCTATAAAAGCACATCAACATGAAAGAAAGTCTATTATAAGTGTTGTATGTTCATACCTTTCGCTTTATCTCTGCTCGGGAGGCAATAATTGATCGGCTGATCGCAGTGGCGAACACTTTCGTGGTGAGAAATGGTATGAGCCGGTGAGGAATATGGTATTGTCCTGGATTGACTCGAATATGATGCTAGATAAGCACCAGAATGTAAGTATGAATAGATAATTTTTATAGCTATCGACAGATAGCACTCACCAGAAGTCTCGAGGTGAAGCCTAGTTTGAAGCCCGATAGCTTTGGATCCAGCATGATGATGTCAACAGGGGCTTTGATGAACTCCTACGGCATACATATAGCAAATACATGGGGATCTCGATGAGTTTTAGAGGCTAAACCCATACCTTATAAGTTTCGGTGATGAGCATGCACCCGCGCTAGGGTCCGAGGGAGGGATTCGGGAAGCTTTGGGGAAATACCGAACAGTGCTAGACAAGTACCGAAGTCGCCGACTTTTACCGAACACGGTCGGTCCCTACCCGACCGACGACAAGCCACCGAAGGACGATTCGGCAGCACTTGGGTCAGTTCGCCCACACTTCACGTACTTACCATGACCGCACAGGAGGGTTACGATAGGTGTGTACGAGATCGGAGCCAGTATTCCGTATCGGCCGATGTCCTCCGTGAGTCGGTCGGTCCTTATCGCTTATCGTCCCGACTTCCGCATGGTCGGTCAAACACGATCTTACACCATTGCTTGGCCACCCTGGTCGTACGATACCTCTTCTTTATTTTTCATTGGTTCTCCAACGCCTGTTCCTGCTACCTACACTCGGGCGACGGATCCCGAACGTTCGGGATTTCGACATCACTGATTACCTTTTACCTTATCACCTTCGGAACCCATATGGACATCTCACCTACCTCCTTATCTTCTCTGATCGCTAAGGCTTGGCGCCCATTCGACATCTACTCTCATTTCAGGTTCGATATTTTACTTAGGGGCGCTGTTTACTATAAAAACCTACATACAACTCTGGAATAAAGCAGCTTTCGCACCCCACAGTTCAGAGCTCATTCGCACTCGTCTCAACCATCGAAATCGTCTTCATCGACTCCCGAAAACTTGTCATCTTCGTCGTTCGGCCTTGTTCGCGTTCGTACTCGTCTCTTCGCTCGTACCCCTCGTCCTTCCTCGTATATTGTCAGAGTCCCGTGTGGCTCTTGAAGCACGTAGTTGTCGGTCGCGACACTACCTCCTCGTTACCGACCGAATCGCCGACACGACCGACCGAACGTTCGGTCGGTGTTCGGTGCAGTCCCGAAACCGTTCGGGCGCTATAATCTCCACTCCTCGCTGCTTCTCAAGTGCGCCGTCGATTTCTAAAGTCATCACTAACGATTCCTTGTGTAACAGAAACTAGCTCCAGCACCCCTGCATTAGAGGTTGTTTTAGTGTTGTGCTCGGCACTTAGAGCCACCTCTAGCGTATCATCGGATACGATAAATGTCTGTAGTGCAGACAGCCCTTCTTCCTCACTCATTGGGGCATTAACCGCAACAAGAACTTTGATCATAAGCTCTTGCAGAGGGCGCTATAACAAGAAAATTGAGTTCACTTATACAGAAATTCATCTGAGCATGAATACCTGTGCTGCTTCGACAATGTGGGCATGCTTGGACTTGGGAATATCTGCTTCCTCGCAGCAGAATTCCGCATACTCCTTGTAGTGGCGTTTCGTACATGGAGTCAAGGGTTGGGTCGCCAAATTGATCAATGAGATGTTGGAAGTTGTGCCCACTGTTGCCTCGCTGGCAGCGTGACCTAGCAGAAGCAAACTTCCAGGACATCCATTTACATCTGGATGAAAGGGTTCGAAAGTATCCCTAGAATTAGGAGTTTGTAAGTCGCCCAAGAAAAGAGGGAACAGAGAATTGGAGGGTGTGCGCAAAGAAGTTTCGGCTGGTGTGCCATCTCCAGTGATGGCATCTTGGCCAAACAATGCTGCAGCCCGGCCATCTGCTTCCTCTTGGTGCCGCCTAGCTGTTTCCTGGAGTGCAGTCATCTCATCCTCAAACTCGATAATGTCCATGATGCCTGCAGTGGTCGCAGCCATGGGTGGTGAAGGTAGAAATACACGCATTCGGAAATGGGCCCATGACCACGTGAGACATTCGACAATGCGACAAAGTCGTGAGCGCATGAGCCATTGAAAGATAGAGCAATGCATCGAAAGTGCATGCACTTTTAGCATTGCTGCATTGTGATCAACCGGGATTATATACTGCTCAATTTTCCCCCATCAAGAGCTTGTGAAGCTCGTGGATGTTGCTTTGGCGAAGAACATCATCCACCGCACCTTTTCTCCTTTTTGAAAGCCCACCACCAGCAGACTTTAAACCAGATACTTCGCCTTCGACCAATGCTCGAGCAAGTCCATCAGAAGAAACATTCAGATCCTCTGCACGCTTCCGCTTTCCGATGCTCTTTGCAGATTTTGCAAGGACATTGCGAGCTTGAATTTGGCGATGAAGTCCTGTAAGTCGTTCTGAAGTAGGTGGCAGGAGTGTTGAGCTAGAGAACACACTGTCAGCCGCCGGAGCGTCAGTCTTTGAATGTAAGGTGCTTACTCTGCATAGAAGGCCTCTAGTCTGTTGATAAGCTCCTCCTTTTTTCCTTTGCGAAGGAGCTTGTGTTCACAGCACAATTCTTTGAGAACATCATTTGAACATGAAGCCCTGTGTGTTTCAGAAATGAGCCCATGAATCAATCTTAAGAAGTAAGCTTACAAGCCAGTGATTGCCCTCGTCTTATGTGCACGAGGTGCGCCAGAATCAAAGACAGGGCACGAAGACAAGTCAGTTTCTGTTTGCGGCAAAGGATCAGCCTTATCTGGTTCTGTCTCACCCAGAAAGCTCCCAAGCGCATCGAGAATATCCCCGTCTGTCTGCAGAAGGTCCTTGGGCTGGGAAGTATTTGCATCTTGAGCATTTGATACTCCTGCGTGCTCTGCAACCTTTGTGGCCAAAAGCTCATGGTGCTCTTCTGTCTGCTGCTTTTTCCGCTCACGCACCAAGGCAGCTGCACGCTGCCGAAGTGCAAGTGAATTGTCAACTTTAAATGATGATGAACGTAGATGGACCGGTAGAGCTTCATAAATCGCCCGGTAGTTATGCAGTGAACCAGCATTGAGAATATATGTCAGTTCATCTGAGTGCGAGATGATGTTGCGAGTTAGAGTATCGGACAGCTCCCTTTCAACAAAGTGTGAGCGATAACTATCCGTTGTGCACTGTCCGTGGTGGCAGTCATGCTGGAGGTTTATTCCACACACCAGTTGCTATTAATAGAGGTTTATTTCACGTAGCATTGAAGGAGATAGGACAAACACACCACTGGCCGCATAACAATCCTTTCGGAAGTCAAACGCAGGACAGGCATGTCCAATCGCTCATGGGGGCGCTCGCCTATTTCAAACAGCTGGACCACCACATATACAAGTGGATCCATAACAGCTGTGTCAGGCGACGATGGCACAACAAGAATCTCGAGAACTTTGCCAAAAATAAGTTTCCCATCCTGTTGTGATTTATAAAAATGGTGAGCTGTCACTGGTATCTCTGAGGTATGAGCAACGTACAGAAGGACGGCATATGATAGCAAATTGACCACTGTTGATCCTGTCCCGATTTTCGGCAACAATAGTCTTTCCGCTGTAAAATTGCAAGTTGGCATCTGGTATATGTGAAGACTCGTGGGACAGGTCATTGAGCACCGTAGACAGCTGAAGGCCAGCCGAATGTGCCATAGAGTCCTCCCATTTGAGGACGACAGGAGTTGCCATTTTCTGGTGGGTTGCCTTTGCCCGCAAGAAGACAACATGTCCTGTTAGTATAGAAGTGTGAAATGAGCATTAACTGAAGATAGGCACACCCAAAAACGACTAACCAGGAGATTGACCTGTTGGCACACGCAATCCAAGCAATTTACAGTGCTCTGAATGTTCATTAACGTATGCCATCACGCTTGCACCAGCGCACACCCACTTCCCTGTTAAACTGTCCTTCCACCAACCGCCAGTTGAGATGTGCTTGACACTATCCATGCCTGCAAAAGTCCCAGCGATATCACGACTCGGTGCCATTCGGTTGCTGTGCATGGAGGCAGCACGAAATACAGCATTGTAAGACTCATACCGCTCTGTTGAGTACAGTATAGCAGGACCGAATCGACGAATATAGAAGGGAAGATGGACAAGGAAGTGAAACTTGGGCTTTGAGATAAGAATACTCGGGCTGCAGAGTGCAGTGACGTCTAAGATGTCATCGATGCATTGTTGAAGTTTAGCCTATAAGTGGGTTATAAGTATGTCTATGCATGCGAAGAGATTCCTGAGACGCACCAGGTAGACATTCATGTCATCGATCTCGGTATGCCAGAGCATGACAGTCAGGCGGCTTATTAGGAGCCATGCATCGAGCACATTCTGGGGGACCAGATCATATATTGTAAATGCCATGATTTGCGACAAGGTCTTGAAGTGCTTGCCAATCAGGGCGCCTTTATACTGACAAATGTAATCCGCGGGTATGGCAGGAATGTTAAGGCCATCCGAGGCGATCGAGTTCAGACATATCTGGAAGATGTGGAACTGTTTTGCCTTCTCTAGAAAGAAGACGGTCTGACCCCAAAAATACTTGACAATTCCAAGTAGGATGGTGTGCAGAATCTCGGTAGGTGTGTCCTTGTGGATGTCAACACCTGCGAGATATAGCAGTCAGACAATGAGAAAACACCATGCCATACATTGTGAGCAAACCTTCAACATCCAGCAAAGGATTATAAGTTTGGCCTCGGCCATGCGCTTTACGGAGCTCTTTTGTGAGGATTGCTTGAACCTCCTCCGGGCTATGGGCTACCTGTTCTGGACTGGATGACTTGCGTAGTTGCTGGCCAAGCTTCACGATATGATCAATGATTGGTTGGGCGACTCCGTCTTTGACACCTGAATCACGGACAGCTTCAGTTAGTTTTGTGGCAACATTTGGCTCTAACGCGGTGACCAGCTGCTCGAAAACCTTCTCCCGAGTTTCGGAGCTTGTCCGCATAGTGCTGGACTATTGACTTTATGAGTTGGAAAGAGACAGATAGAGATGCAAGACCTCCACTGACCTCGAAAATGCTGCCGAATCCCACATCCGACCGTTTGTGCTCTTGACTGCCGCCGACATGACATGTCCGACAGAAAAAGTTGCTATTCAGGCCAGCGCCGCTAGAAAGCTCTGCCTGCATTGGGTTGTCTCCGGCATAGAGAAGAGGAAACGGGCGTAGGAGAGCCTCTTCCACGTTAAGAGCATCGTATGCCACCACTGGATTGTTGAAAGCGCGTCTATACATCGGCCTGTAAGCCAATTAACCGTTATATGTTGCATAGACAACCTACTCCATTGAACTTCGGACCCCCTGCATGATTTCTAATGGGGTCGCTGTTGGAGAGGCTGCAACAAAGCGCACATGGAATTCTTCCATTAAAGCCTCGCGCGTGAGAAGTCCATTGGAAATATAGCACGCAAAGTGCTTGTTCCACTGCTTTGATTGGTTTCCAGAGACGTTGATGAGCATGCACCCGCGCTAGGGTCCGAGGGAGGTATTCGTGAAGCTTTGGGGAGATACCGAACAGCGCTCGACAAGTACCGAAGACGCCGACTATTACCGAACACGGTCGGTCCCTACCCGACCGACGACAAGCCACCGAAGGACGTTCGGCAGCACTTGGGTCAGTTCGCCCACACTTCACGTACTTACCATGACCGCATAGGAGTGTTACGATAAGTGTTTACGAGATCGGAGCCAGTATTCCGTATCGGCCGATGTCCTCCGTGAGTCGGTCGGTCCTTATCGTTTATCTTCCCGACTTCCGCATGGTCGGTCAAACGCGATCTTGCACCATTGCTTGGCCACCCTGGTCGTACGATACCTCTTCTTTATTTTTCATTGGCTCTCCAACGCCTGTTCCTGCTACCTACGCTCGGGCGACGGATCCCGAACGTTCGGGATTTCGACATCACTGATTACCTTTTACCTTATCACCTTCGGAACCCATATGGACATCTCACCTACCTTCTTATCTTCTCTGATCGCTGGGGCTTGGCGCCCATTCGACATCTACTCTCATTTCTTGTTTAATATTTTACTTAGGGGCTCTGTTTACTATAAAAACCTACATACAACTCTGGAATAAACCAGCTTTCGCACCCCACAGTTCAGAGCTCATTCGCACTCGTCTCAACCATCGAAATCGTCTTCGTCGACTTCCGAAAAACTTGTCATCCTCGTCGTTCGGCCTCATTCGCGTTCGTACTCGTCTCTTCGCTCGTACCCCCCCGTCCTCCCTCGTATATTGTCAGAGTCCCGTGTGGCTCTTGAAGCACGTAGTTGTCGGTCGCGACACTACCTTCTCATTACCGACCGCATCGCCGACACGACCGACCGAACGTTCGGTCGGTGTTCGGCGCAGTCCCGAAACCGTTCGGGCGCTATAATCTCACACTCCCCGATTGCTTCTCAGTACGCCTTCAATTTCTAAAGTCATCACTTACAATTCCTTGTGTATCAGATACTAGCTCCAGCACCCCTGCCTTAGAGGTTGTTTTAGTGTTGTGCTCGGCACTTAGAGCCACCTCTAGCGTAACATTTTGGAGCCCACCGCGAGGGGTTAGTATTCAAAATTACCTCAAGGAATCTACGTCGCTCGTCCCGACCAACAGCGGAGCGCGAAGAACGACAAACAGTTATCGATAGCTTCAATACTCAGGAAACATCTGCCGACCGAAGTTTGTTCGGAGACGCCGATATAGTCCCAGAACACTTATCCCACCATCACTACCTTGATCTCGAATCCTCGCCATCGCTCTCACCACCACCCGACTCCACTTTCTTCTTAACCCCACCTTCGTCGCCGAACCGATCGTTACTCCCACCGATTTCCCCTATCCTCGACCTTGCACTCTTAGAACAATCACCCCCGTCTCCTATCCCATCTCTCCACGACTCCATCTCTCCGTTAATCCCACGCAGCCCCGTCTTCTGGACGCCGACCATCCGACCGACTTCACTAGAACGCTCCTTCGAACCAGCGACTCCATCCCCGATCACCTTAGAAAACAATACCTTCTCCCCCACCTTTGACTTTCTCACTATGGCGACCCCATCCATGCCCGCTCGTGGAGATCGAACGGCCCCGACCTTTGACCCCCATCAACCCCGCGAATTGAGACGATATTTCTCCGATCTGGACTTCCACTTCGTTCGGTCTGCGGTAGTGGACGAACAAGAAAGAAAGAAACACGCTTGCCGATTCCTAGATGTCGACACCTGTGAGCTTTGGGAATCGCTCACCACTTTCACCGACGCCACGAAGACCTTCAAGGAGTTCTGCGAAGAGGTCTACAGGCTATACCCCGGATCGGAGGAAGAACGCAAATGGTCGGTATCGGATATGGACAAGCTAGTCGGCGAAACGAGCAGGGTCGGCATCTTGTCTCTCAGCGAACTCGGCGACTATCATCGGCGATTCCTGGCGATCACGGTATTCCTCCTCAGCAAGGCACGGATCTCGGTCGCCGAACAAGGACGCGCCTTCGCTAGAGGATTCCAACCGGAGCTATGGGCAAGAATCTCTCAACGTCTACAACTCAAGTTCCCCGATCATTTCCCAGACGACCCATACAACCTCCAAGACATCCACGACGCGGCCCGATTCGTCTTGCACGGCACCACGTCCGCCTACAGCACGATCCCTACCGACATCTCTCGAGCAGCCCCCGCCGCGCCGCCCACCAACGCGATCAAGGCCGAAGACCTGGCGACCATGTTCGAACGGCTCACCGACACCTTTGTCAAGGCCATCACAGCTCAGGGGACGACCAGGCCAGCCGATCGACCATCCCGACAGCCAGGACAAGGCGGCGACAACTGCATGTTCTGCGGCAGTCCCGAACACTTCATGCGCGCCTGTCCCGAGGTCACCGAATACATTCGGATCGGCAAATGCAAGAGGAATATCGAGGGGAAGGTGGTATTGTCAAGTGGGGCATTCGTACCGAGAGAAATCACGGGTAGTAACCTGAAGGACCGAGTTGACGAATGGCATCGCAGGAATCCAGGCCAGTTGGCGACCGGACAGATGATGTTTACGGTAAACGCGGCGCCGACTCACCCGATGACGATAGCCTCCCGTCACGATTCACCCTCATTGCTGGATGTCACCCCAACTTACCAACTCACCGACGTCCAGCGAATCGCGAGCCTCGAACGCGAACTATTCGCGCTCCGAACGCGGGGCGCAAGGGCACGCGAAATGGCGCAGGCAGGACGTTCGGCACCTACCCCTTCACCGGCCCCCGAACGACGAGCGAGGACCGAAACTCCCGAACCCGAACCCCGACCGACCACCCCGACTCAGCGACCGCCCCCGGTACCAGCCAAGGACGATGCTCCGATCCACCCATATGCCAAAGCCCAGGACGCCACCTATGCACCGCCACACGACCGCAACATGGGAGCCCCGGCGAAGATACCATCGGCAAAGAAGGACGCTCCGGCCTACAAAACCACGGCGCCGATCTACGACGAGAAGGTAGCAGCTGAGGTCTACAACAGGGCAATGGCCACTCAGGTGACGCTTACCCAGCGCGAACTACTCTCTCTCTCTGCCGAAGTCCGTTCACAGGTCAGGGAAGCCACGTCGGCACGCCGATCGCCTGCCAGAGACGCCAGCAATGTTCGGACCTTCTACCAAGATGCCGATCTACCCTATGCCATCGACGACCTCGAACCACCGACTCGACCGACCGTCTCCTCCTTCGTCAATGTCCTGCACCAACCGGAAACACCCCCGCCGGGCGCGATCATCATCCCCGACATGTACGAAACGTACCTGAAGAATCTACAGCCCGGTCAGGTTCCTCAGCCATTGATAGTTGCTAAAGAATCGTCTGCCCTAAGGTCTATTGTTCCCCTCGTCGATCATCAGCAGGAAGTCGAATGCATCATCGACCCGGGTTCACAAGTCATTGCCATGTCGGAAGGCATTTGCAACGAACTGGCGCTCATCTACGACCCCGAAATCGTCCTCAATATGCAGTCGGCGAACGGCGAAATCGACCGATCCTTGGGCCTGGCACGCAACGTGCCATTCCTCATCGGCGACATCACCCTGTACCTCCAAGTCCACATCATTCGGAACCCCGCCTATGACGTTCTCCTCGGTCGGCCATTCGACATCCTCACCGAAAGTATCGTCAAAAATTATTCAAACGAAGACCAGACGATCACCATCAGCGACCCGAACACGGGACGACGAGCCACCATTCCGACGATCAGACGAGGACCCCCTCGAGTCCTTCACCGAAGACAAGCGGGTTTTCGCGACTCGATGAATTGATCCGAGATCAAGGAGAAGTTGCACTGATCATTTCCACCGATCATGATACCCCCAATTTCCCACTTATCGAAGCGTCCTCAGATTTCCATTCTCCATTTCCCTCTCGTCGCGATCTCTGTCTCAAGTACATTATGGCCTCCGATTTGGGGCCCGAAAATCATCTCAAAAACAATCTCGATTCCGATATGTTGTCCTTATTCTCCTCATTCGTTCCCGGTTCTCTCCATTCCACTAATATCGCCGACCCGGTCGCCATTTTCGCCGCCAAGCGCAAGTACAAACCGGTCGCACAGAAAACACGACCAGTCTTGGCCGACCTCCCCGAACAGTTCCGAATCGTTCGGAACATCCTCGGTGACCCTCTCGCTGCCCTTCCGACGCTGACACCGAACCCCCCACCCTTCACGCCGACCGGCAGATACACAGCCGAACGACGCGACCTCATCGACAAAGTCCACTCGGACGACTTCCTTTGGCCGGCCGAACGACAGCTCATGCACCATTTCATGTGTCTACAAGAGATGGGATTTGCCTGGGACGATTCGGAACGCGGACGTTTCCGCGAGGATTTCTTTCCTCCAGTCAATATGCCGGTGGTCGAACACAAGCCCTGGGTTCAACGCAACATTCCGATTCCACCAGGCATCTACGACGAAGTGTGCCGACTTATCAAAACCAAGATCGCCGCTGGAGTCTATGAGCCGTCGAATTCGTCCTACCGATCGCGCTGGTTTACAGTCGTCAAGAAGACGAATAGCACCTCCACTGGCACCAAACTCCGAATCGTTCACAGCCTCGAACCCTTGAACGCCGTCACCATCCAGCATTCAGGTGTGCCCCCATATACCGATCAGATCGCTGAACAGTTTGCAGCTCGCGCTTGTGGCGGCATTCTGGATCTCTATGTCGGCTATGACGAACGAGGGCTCGCCGAATCATCTCGCGACTTCACCACGTTCCAGACCCCATTCGGCGCCCACCGACTCGTCACCCTGCCCATGGGATGGACAAATTCGGTCCCGATCTTCCACGACGACGTCACCCACATCCTCCAGCCAGAAATTCCAGACACCACCATTCCGTTCATCGACGATGTCCCGATTCGGGGCCCACCGACCCGATACGAACTTCCGAACGGCGGGTTCGAGACGCACCCCGACAACCCCGGCATACGACGATTTGTGTGGGAACACTTTCAAGGCCTCAATCGGGTGGTTCAGCGGATGAAGTACAGCGGAGGAACATTTTCGGGACACAAGGCGACACTCTGCGCAGCTGAAATCACGGTGGTCGGCCATCGCTGCACGTACGAAGGAAGATTACCCGACGAATCTAGGGTAGAGTCAATTATGAAGTGGGGACCTTGCAGGGATCTCTCAGATGTTCG